GGAATTAAAATTAGGTGTATAAAAATACTCACGGAACATTATTTAGGTATTTTTTTATTTTTTATTATCAATAAAATTACTTTATGTTTAACGTCCAATGGAACAATAACGTGCTGTTTTCATCTGTGATGTGATATTTGTCGAAAGCGGCCGCCCTAAGCTGTGGTTTTGTGTCAGAGTTAAGGCTTAAATTAATTGTTTAATTGTGTCGACATAAACAATCTAATTTGATACATATGCAACTTTCTTTTAATTGAGACATTGAAAATAAATATATATATTTTTTATTTTCTCTCTATGATATAAATTTAGGTTCTGCTTATCTAGTCTTTTACCATACCATCTGTAATACTAAAGGGTACCATCTGTAATCTGTTTTACTAAAGGTTTTAGGACCATAGCAGCTTAAATATCCCTTAAAATATGTAAGTATCCTTAAAACTTTAGGCATTACATATTTTTAGAAAATTAGTAGTTAATACCTTACTTTGTGACACAGCTGATAGAAAGACATGAAACGGAATGGATGTTTCCTATTCTAGCGTGGGTGGTATATGTTTTTCTTAGTTACCTAACTGACCATGTTAAATACAAATGATTATATGACTGATAGGGATACTAGCTGTTCTGTAACTTAAAAACTCCTACCTTTCAAAATTATATCTTTATAACCACTGAAATGTATGAGTTAAAAGTATAACATAAAGAAGTTTTCGTTGCTGCCATTAACCTTTGGTTGGATGTACTTTGTTAGGTGAGAGGAATGGTAAAGTTAAGTTGTCAGACATTCACACGCACTCCCATTGTGGACGTACCTGACAGGTTAAATTAAGTAAAGTTTACAGTGAAGCTTTAGCAATACCTGTCCGAAGGACTTAGTAAATAGTTATTGACCAGAAAATTTTAATATTGTAATACCTTATTTTTATACACGACTTTCCGTAGATAGCTTTTAGTGTCTATAAACATTAAACAAAAATTATATTGAATCTTGTTTTGTTTGTACTGTACACGGCCTTAAATTTTAATCCGCTATTGATCTAATGGTTTTTTTTCAGGAAAAATGTTAATTTCAACTATAATATATTTCAATCGTATAATATTTTTAGAATTATTCAAAACTTGTTTTTGACAAAGTTAATATTGTATCATTGATTGTGTTGATGATTATTTTGTTGTTATATCATGGTATCATGCTCAATCCCCAATTGCAGTTTTTATGAAAGCCTAAAATTATGTTTCAAATGAGACAAATATGAGGTCCTTATTATACTTTTAAACTGTTATCAACACTAGGTATTTGGCCCGCTCTTCGCTCTAAAAATCTTTGTACCAGCATTTTATATAGTTATTGCATTTTTAAGATATGCAAAATTCATCAACCACACAGCACCAAGAAACAAATCCTTATAAACAATTAATACAATCAAATAGCAGAACAAAATATACAATTACCATTAAATTAATTTACATAACCTTTTTTAATTTTTATTTTATATGTTTTGTTAGCAAACGAATCTAGTTAAAATTATTTAAAAATACCTGGCATGGGTACCTTTAACAGTTAACGGCTAAGCCCTGAAAGTTATTTTGAAATTGGTGGTGTATAAACCTACTCCGTGAAATTTTTCATGTACGTGCCAATTTTTTGGCCATCAGTCCAGCGTTGTCTGAGTTTATCACTGTCAAATATATATATACATACCAACATCCTCTTTTATACTTATGGATCATAAATACATGACAGGGATCGGATATGCATTAAACAAGTACTTTTAAGTAATTAATCTTCCATTAATATAAATAATAGTAATACTACATAATAATAGTAAACTCTGTAAGTATGTAGGCATACAAGCAAGATATTTACATGCATTTAGTGATATTAAGTATAACTTTTTGAGATTCCAGGCCTTCTTAGTGAAGTACGGTAAGTTATTCCCCATGGTTTTTATCAGTTCTTAACATGAGACAACAAACGGAGCATGTGGAAAAGTATTACAATCCCTACAAATTATTGTGAATGTACATTTGTAAAAGACTTTCACTCTCAAACATTGGTCTAATACACTAACAAATAGACTATCATCACCTCATTCAATCATCACCTCATTCAAATACGCTAAAATTTCCAAATCAAACAGACTATTTACAATTAATTACAATCAATATTGGTTTAGGTAAAATGTACTTTTGTTTGCTGAAAAAATCATTACCGTCAAACTTTGTTTGTCTATAAAGCTACGCTATCTGCCAATCATCATATTCTCTTTGATCTCTATTTACAAAAGCAAACCGAATGGTTGACAGTTTTAGTAAAAAAAGTCAATTAAAGCCAATCATGTCAGTTGTAAAAACATTATAATCTTATTTCCGAAACATATTTTTCATTTGATTTTGTGATTAATTAAACTTAAATATCTACCCAGTATAATTTAAATATGGTCAATATGTGTTGGTTACAACTATGCATACATAATATCACAATATGTTCAACAAATGTTTATCAATTGAGCTACATATTGTTTAGAATAGCTCATGCGTGCCTTAGAGAAACAGGGCTGCCATAACTCACAAGGGACGTGATAAAATATCCCTGCTGTTACGTCATCGTAAACAATAAATCAGATATCACGTGATCACTGGCAACAGGTACACAGGCTACGAGCTTGGACTATCAATGTATGGGCAAAATATTGTATAAAGTTTACAATGTGTAGGCAAAATATTGTATAAAGTTTAAATTATGCTTCAGCAAAAGAAACTATTAGTGCAAAGGGGTAATGTATTGAGTAAGTAAAATTACACAACAAATTAGTATATTAACTTTCCTTTCTAGGGCCACGTTCAAAAACAATAATATTGTGTTCTTTGGGGAAAGCTATGTGATATCATAGGTAATTTGTATGAATCTAACACATAAAATAAATATAGGTAGAACTTCAAATGGATAGCTGCTGCCAGCACAAATATGACAGTTTAAGTGTAATAATAAATTATAAACAATAACACAAAATTACTTATATACCGTTTAATAATAGCACAGGTACGTAGAAGGCTATAATGCACATAATGAATAAGATTAATGCATTCCAAAGAATATCAGAAAGGGGTTTTACGTTATTTAAATGCCAAGGTTGTATTTCATACATTTACAAACTGCCAATCTATAGTGTGTAAAGACGCCTTTATGATAAGCATATTTAGCAACAATTAAATACTTAAAATATTACAGGGGTTATAAATATGTTAATCGTTTAAAATACTAAGTTATATTAAAATAATAAGCATAAAAAGTTGTTAACGAAGACTTTTCTGAACATAGCTTTAACACTAAACAGTGTACTTAGAATTATTATAACGTTCAAGGATGTGTTTAGTAGCATTTACAAAAAAAAATTAATACTAGAGCATTACAATCATAAAAATAGGGTGAAGGGTTACGATACTATGATGCAATTTATTCATAATCTAGTGTTTCATTCAGATGTGTACATGTATTCAGAAAGGATTACCGTGTTACAAAGTTTAGAGCACATGTCAATGTAAAGTAACACTTGTGAGGTCTACTTGGAGACGGATGTGACTTTACAAGTTTGTGTGACAACTTGGAGTGAATGTGACTTGCCAAGAGTTTCTAAATTAAGTTTTTTTTCGAAATGATAAAAAGTGTGGTTAATTACGAAGAAAATTGTCAAAAAAATTTATTAGTAATGGATTTTTAAGCTCATAATGAAACAAGCAAAGTTGACAAATCTTATGACCTTGTATTTTTTCAAAACTATAAACTTGTTACATAAACTATAAATTGATTTACTAAGGGAGAACAACTTTTTGTATAACGTACTGCATCTATAAAATAGTATATTTTGGTTTACCTACAATGACAGTTGGTTATACATAATTTAAAATTGAGAAATGGTTTATTGGAGTAGTCATCGGATATACACATAAACTTTGAAACTAAAAGTTATAGTGACTCCAAAACTAAAAAAAAATTGCACCTTTAGAGCCATGTGTCAGAAGTGGAGGAATTATTTAAGCTTCATAAAGCGGCAATCCTATTCTTTTATGTGTTTTTTTAAAGCACAATTTTGGTCTGATTTATTGTTATACACTTATGAAAATGACGAAAGCCAATGAATATGAATATATGAATACGTAGGTAGATTTAACAATAAAGCAACACATATTTTTAGCTGCAAAAAATGTTAAATAATTGATCAAGTTTGGGAGGCAGTAGGGTATTTGGGTTTGTATTTTAAAATAATAATAAAAAGCAGTGAACCATAAAGTCAATATCTTTGGACAAGCATAAATTTTTATTAGTTTATTTTAAACTGTCTCATTAAAATGTGACCTAAGTAAATTGTTTGTTATTTATAAGAATTTTAAGTATAGGAAAATCAGAAACGGAAAATGTTCAGTCAACGTGAATGCAATGAATGATAAATATTCAATGTAATGTCTAAAGATAAAAGTACGCTTTAGGTTTTTAAAGCGCCCAACGCCACTAGCATACCTATTAAGCTATTTCAACCAACCCTCCACTACTTTTAATATTCGAACAGTAATAGCAGCCGAATCATTCGAGAGGAACAAAATAATTAAGGAATAAACTCGAGCAAATATTTGCTTCGATTAAAATTGAAAACCCTTTGTTCTCCAAAAACAAACTCGTAATTACGTTTGCAAACGATCCCAAACTCCAAACTCACAACTTACCAATTCAAATTGTGTTTCGGAAATCAATATCGGTTGATTAAATTCTTTTTGTAGACATGTTAATTTTATATTTTCCACTGACACTAGCGATGACACAATCACTTTCATCGGTGTGTTCAGTCGAGCGTGGATAATTGTAACTTAACAGCTGTCAATGCAACAATCAGGCAATTGATTGGTCGCGACGGAGCCGAAGTTTGCCGAGCGTCGGCGGAACTCGCCGAACCGAGTGACTCGCGCAGTGACGCGTTTGTTTTCTTCAGTTGTCCGTTTGCTTTGGAAGCGGAAAGGCTCGTTGTCGTCGCCCGTGCTTGCGTGCGTGCGTGTATATTGTGATAAGTTTTAACAACTTTAAGTGGAGTGTTTTGCGACTGTTAGGATACTAAAAGTTTAATGTAAGTAGTTGTTTCTTTCTGCTCTGACCTGGTTTGTGACTAATTAAGCGCGGAGATCGTTTATAACAATCTATTTCTGACCCGCGCACCGGCTGTGACTGCGGTAAACGTAGCTTCTTCGCTTGGATTATAACGTTGCAAACTTAACTACTTGCAATCAATTAATACTCGTTTAGTGGTATTATACTTTTCAGTACAAATTATAGAGTAAATAATTACAATCATTTTTGAATTTTTCGCGATGTACCATATTGGGACAAGTATTCACGAGTATTGTTTTGTCAATTCTTTTCATAAGAGTTCAATTCAACCAAAAACTGCATATTTTACACAATAGTGTACACATGGTTGCCGTTTATAAGTTTTCAATATCTACAATAAAAGTTATCGTAAACTAAACGCAATAATTTGATGCTGTTATACTTATATATTTGCGTTTGACAATAATTTGTTTGCATGTTTATGTAATTTAGAAAATTGTGATCTCATTCTACGATAAACACCTTTATTATGGCATGCAGTTTGTTGATATAAGCATCGAATAAATACCATAAAAGATTTCATGCACAGTTTAAAAAGGTACATTTACTCTGATACATAGGCTATAATTAATCAATAGTTGAAGAAAGCTAAAACCGTACGGTTTTAATATTTTGCCTTATCTTTAGGAGACGAATGCGTTAATGACTGACACATAAGCGTGTGTTTATGTTTTATTTGGAATAATAAAAAGCACGATATTCATTAAGATTCTGTTTATAAATGAATGACCAACGGTTAGACGAAACAATAAATGTGAACTGTTTCAGTGGATTGTTCATTGTTGTTGATATATCACGTGGTATTCCCTGGGACATGCAGCAAAGGGAATCCACATTTTGTTACACATTAGGCTGTTTAATTTAGTATATGATTTGGATTGCATATACTTGGTGTTCTATCCTCAATCACCTTTTAACAAAAATATATTGTTGTAACTAGTCATGATCATGAGCACAAAACACAAACATTCACTGTCGTAGCTTTCAATCTTTATCTTTGTAAATTGGTGTGGTGTATTGCCGTTGGTAAATAAATAAATAAATAAATTATCGGTTGATAACACTATTGTTGAAGATATTCTATAACAATACATAGTAAAATTATTTTTGCCCTAGGACGTTAGGCACGAGCCTGGGACTGTTTTTTTCACATTCAAATGCCATTATAACTTAACTAATATTGGTTTTTTATTACCTGTCGTCAGTTCCAAATTGTTACTTCCGTAGATGCTACGAGTTTCGGCGAGATGCCATTGTCAAGCATACAGTCCAGGAATGTACATTAAAAAATCCGCTTATATAGCTTCGTTGTTGGTTTACGCACATGACAACGTATTTTAACTATCACTTAGATAAAATTCATTTCTGATTTGGTGGGATTTGAACCCGGGACCTCATGGACCGAACTAACCACCCCTCTAACCCCCACCTCTAACCACTAGAATAGCACGCTCCCCCTCAGTAAACATTGAGAACTCTTTTTACGGATAAGATTTCTTTTATTACATACCTCAATTATCCCTGTTTCTCTACTTCATTGACGATCGGCGATCGGCTAAAATATATTGTTAGAAATAATATGTCTATGAGGCTTAGTGGTATTGACGATTTATTTTAGGCTAAATAAGACCCAACATGGTGCTTCCGCAAGGTCAAATAGATTAAAAGACTTTTATTAAAATACTTTTTTTTAAAGACTTTTATTTTCTATGGTTACGGTTTCCTTATATTTTTGACAATTCTCTTTCTATTATAGTTGATTTTTTAGGTACTCGTATCACACATGGACACTTTATTTCATTCCTATTTTTGCATCAAACCAAAGATTTACTTTCAGTCCTAATACATACTATTTAGGCTTGCAGATACCCCATGTTGAGTCTTATTCACAATAAGTTCCCCCAAACTTACCTTATAGATAGCTTTGCAACAATGTATATTTGCTGATTGGCAATGAAGTAAAGGCAACCGGGATACCTACATGAACTTTTTTGCCGTTAAAAAGTGTCTTGCAGAACTTGTACTGTAATTCGGTATGCGTTAAAATGTAGAATATATATAATTTTATTTCTAGCATCTTAAATGGCAATTACCGGTACTAACAATTGAAATATTTACGTGCAATGCGTATTTTTATGAGTTGATATTTTATAGCTCTGCTGTAATCAATAGAGAAAATGTCTTGATTGTCATGGATATTCTACAAGTTCAAAGTATTAGTCGGATTTAGAAAAGCTATGTAAAAAAAGTATGTTTAAATATTTTTAATAGGGTAAAACCGATTATCTCCTAGCTAATCACTAACTATCGAATTACATATTTTAATTGGATACGTTCTTATAAATCCCGCTTCGTGAAGTAACTTTTAAACCATTTTAAGGTATTACATTTACCATTTAAAATTAAGAGTGAGTTTGAACGTGAGCCCTAGGATATTTTTCACTCAGTTTCAGTAAGTCTAATTTAAATTGAGGCCGGAAACAAACTACCTGTTTCAAACTTTAATTGTGAAACTATAAATGTGGAAAAATACACATATCTACCTTAATCTTGTAGATGGTGGCCCTTCGCTTAGGAAAGTATATCTCTCGCAACTGTTATAAAAGTGATTCTAAAGAAACTCAAACCTAAAAAACTTAGCATTTAAACATTCGAACACATCAACTATTTTAAAATAGTTTTTCAAGTGAAAATGCAACCAAAACATTTTTTAAGTAAACCCCCATTCATATTTTTGACAGTTGTTATTTTAAATGATTCGTTCAAAAGTGCGATCGACATTGTTTTTACTTTAATACACCAGATGGCGCTTAACATAATGTTTACGGTTCGATTATCACTATTTGTACATTTGAACACTTATGTCGAAAGTGTCGTGCCTTCGATGTTTTTACTTTGACAATTCCCGCATACTTAAAGGCACTTAAAGGCATAAGTGGCATCTTGCCACAGGCTTTCAGTAAATTAGAGTTGATTAAGCTATTTGATTGAGCTATGGAATAAATATAATTCAGCAAACCGTAGCAAACTATCCCCTTAGAGTTTACTGTATGATTCATTATGAACGGTGCATGTTTACTAGACCCGTAATATCACAACAACAAAAATGCAATCGTAGCTTTAACATTTTTCCTATAATATTTAAAAAAGTTATATCCATTCTTTAAGTCACTAAAAAATATTACAAGTTTATAATTGATACTGTTAAAACAGTTTGGAGTGGACGGCTTTTCAATACTAAAATATAACTGTAGCGTGAAATCTCCTGCGGATAAAAGCTTGCAATATTTTCACTGCAGGGAATTCCGCCAATTATGGTTAATTGAGTTCGTAATTGGTTTTGGGAACATTAATTAACGGAGCACAATATGGACGTTTATTATAACACAATGGACAGTTCGACCGACCTCCATGCATGGGATAACTGTTTTGTTTCCCATTGTGCTGAATATCTTGTCTTTTATGTGGAGGAAACGACGAAGCATCAGATTTTATTATCAATATAATTTTATCATAAGATTTGCTATGCGATTTACTAAAATCTTTATGCGTTTGTTTTATCCTACTCTGTTTAGTTTTCCTTTTGAAGATAATCAGTTAAAAAATCTTCAAACCAAAAAAAGTATCAGGATACGTTCAAAGTCATATGTGACAGTGGATAAATACCAATTTGCTAAAGGTAAAAATTTTAGGTAGTAAAAATATTTATCGAACATGATTTTTAATGGTCTAGACTCATTACACAAAAAAGGTCCTGCATCCCAAATCGTTTAGGAGTTGTAAGCCAAAAACTTTATAAAGAATCATAATGTTTTTACTATGTTGGTTTGAAAAGCCCAACTTAAAAAAAAATTACCCAACCGATTCTTACATATTTAACACCAATCGGTACATAAAATTTGTAGGATGTGTTATTTAAGAGTTGGAATCGAAAATATAAAAACTTTCGTAGGTTTCGACTTTCAAAACTTAAGCAGACGTCAGAATCCGTCGCAAAATTACATGACTCCTATTAGGGACATCAAATGGGTGTTTAAATACTTTTCAGCTTGAAACTATTTTTAAAATATATGACTAATTTGACTGTTATATAAAGAAGAGTACTTTTGTATTAGTATCGTACATCATGCTGAAATGATATTTAAACTGTTTTGTCATTGGTATATTTTATTTGGTACACTTCGGACTGCGTAAATAAATACCAAAATATCAACAAAAGTTAAAACACTAACTAGGACTATATTGAAAGAGCCATAATATAATTGCATATAGCTGTAGTGCATGTTATGCAGTTTAGTCTAGATCCGGCTAAGGTTTAAGATAAACGGTTTATACACTAACCACACTTTGAGTAAGTGAATTTATAAATATTATCTTATTTATATAGTCCCGTGAAATGTAATACAAAATACAGATCCGTTTAAAAGTATTAGCTTAAATAATCACTAAACCTACCCATAAAGCACTCTCGGTTTGTTTGATTAAAATCGAAAATACAAAATAAACTTAAACAAATTATAAATATAGTTAGATTACTTCTAACATCTCGATAATTTCTTATCTACCTTAAAAATGAGGATAATCTCTAAGGAAGAGAAAAGTAAGAGTTTTAAAAGACAAAAGAAGGACCTAAGTGGAGATTAAACTATGAATAATCAAAAGCCCCTAAGAGCTTTGCATTGTTTTGCAGGCGTTAAGTGTAGAAGATTGTCTCTGAAACGAATTTGACTGGAAATCGATTGAAAGTCTTTAATATCACTTTATTGTCAGCCGATGATTGGTTTAAAGTATTTTAAGTCTATTGTGCAGTGATAGATTTATGAGGAAAAGATAACCTTTCGCCTGTATTATAAAATTTCCAATGATATTATTCAATACTATAAAATACAGAACGGTTTAGCTACTAATACATGTTTTCGAATTATATATAATAATAAATACTACAATATGTATACAATA